TGTGTGTGTGTGTGTGTGTGTGTGGGTGTGCAGGTCATGGTCTAGAGAGGAAGGATAGACTCTGTATACCTTGCTGGAGGACACACCTTGCGAACAGTAACTGAATGTACATTGGAAAGGTTGGCACAGTGTTCCTTAGTATATTCAGCAGAACTGGTGAGGAGTTAACAATTAGGATTGGGATAGGAAATAGAAAATAATCACCTTCACTTATGTTGTCATATCTGACACATGTCTGCCTTTGCACATGGCTCATTTTATATTAAAGATTTTCCTCTAAAATCAACTTATAACCAGTACAACACACACACTCATTCAAATACTTACAGTCAATATGCAAAAAAAACAAAAGAAAACAAACACAATGTTATCAGCTCTTTAGGTTATCAGTAAAAGTATGCGCACTGATAAGATCTGAACTAGCAAAAAGATCTTACAAATGCTCTCTCTCACACACATACACTCTACAGACGTTCTTGTCTCTCCTCCCTTCAACGTTTCACACACTTTAACTCTCAGAATGTCTGATGTTGCATTATACGGCCTTGAGCTGCTTTTTTCCCCTATACTACACACATGCTCATTTTACTTAAGCATCATTCTCTTTTAAAATAATTTATTTTACAAAAAAAAAAAAAACTGACAGTGGTCAGGGCTTTTATTTTAATTTTTAATAATAATTGTTTGATTGTTCCACCAAATCAATAATAATAATAATTATTATTATTGCTTGATTATACCACCTAAGTTCCAAATAAATACAAATAATATTAATAATAATAATAATAAATACTGCCTGACTAAATTCCAAATAAATACATATAATTAATATGATTTTAATTATTATTATAACTTACATCTATTTCTATTCTATATGTATACATCTATTTTATTTATTATGTATATTATATATATTTAATTTTATTTTTAATTAATTTTTTATTACAGTTAATTTTTTTTGTCAAAATTGCATATGTATAAATATATTGTACAGTGATTTGGTGCTAAATACATTTTTATTATAATCACATTCAGGGGGAAAAAAAGTTTTTTTTCAGGATCCTTTTAACCTAAAATTAAAAAGAAAAGCATTTAATAAAAATAGAAAATTATATATTTATCAAAGGTTACAGTACATTTACATTGTTACGATAAATTTGTATTTCAAATAAAGTCTTAGTCTTTTATTTATATAGCACCATATACTTACAATGTTCATTGTCCAAGGTGCTTTACAATTCAAAGATAAAACTAAATACCAACAAAAAGAAAACAATATAACCCTAAAACACAGTTAAGAGAAAAAAACAAAACAAAACAAAAGGCCACATATATACACATTATTTAAAAGCAAGAGAAAAAAAGTAGTCTTTAAGTTTAGGCAGAGACCCTATAGCGCCAAACATCCACTGAACTGCAGCACAGGCCTGCCAACTCTTCATCTGTTTTAAGCCAACAATATTTGGTCTTAGTCTTTCATCTTTTTATTTATATAGCACCATATAATTACAATGTTCATTGTCCAAGGTGCTTTACAATTCAAAGATAAAACTAAATACCAACAAAAAGAAAACAATCTAACCCTAAAACACAGTTAAGAGAAGAAAAAACAAAAGGCCACATACATACACATTATTTAAAAGCAAGAGAGAAAAAGTAGTTTTTAAGTTTATGCTTGAAAATGGACAAAGTGGTTGCGGATCTAATGTGTTGTGGTAAGCTATTCCAAAGATTGGGACCGACTACCTCAAACACTCTATCACCCCTATGTTCAAGTCTAGATCATTATAAAGTTTCTATTATTTGAAAGTTATTTATAACAGAGCCATTTGACAGTGGTTGGCTGTGATCATGGTCAAATAAACATCATTACACTAAATACAGGGCTAAAAGCAGTGTCCAAAAATTTTTTTTTTTTTTTTTTGAGCCGATCACTGAAACCATATCTGTAAGATGTTAGAAATACATTTTAGTCGTTGATCATATAGCTTCTCCCTCGTTCAGCCTTTACAGTTGTAGCAGTCATTTTTACCACATGCTGCCAACAAGCCACTAAAATTCCCATAAACACCCTTGCCGCGGTCAGAAGTCATCACTAACAGCGCTGCATCTAACTTGTCAATCAATAAAATCAATCTTCTTTCTCAAGGCTCTAAGAGATAGTGACACTGCATTAGTATTCACAGAGGATAGCATTTTGAGATAGGCTAACAGGGGTTATTATTGAATGGGTGATGTTTATGTGTCTTTTTACTGAATGTCTTTAACCCTGGTGTCAGAAAACAGTGTTGATGTGACTGAGGATCCTCATGTTTGCATGCTGATTTTACCACTCACAGGCTAACAGCCGTCCTCTTAAAACAAACACAGATGGACAGCTACTAAGAACTCTCTGTCTCTGCTTCCCTCACACGTACACACACACTCTGGTAATTAAGAAGACGTTTCTTCTCTCTATGGTCTCATAAAGTTCTCTCTGCAAACATGTTTGTAGCTTTAATAGTAATTGAGACTTTGTTTTGCTGCTTATTCTACAGAATTACGACTCTGGCGACACTTGGTGACACTTGGTGACACTTGGTGATCGGCTAATCAGCCTTCAGGAGACACATGACAGCTTTATGACAAGAAAAATCAACACACACAATGACAGAAACAAACCACACACACACCTGGGCAGATACATAAGCTGAAATACCTGATCAGACAGCCTGTAATTACACACACACTTGCATTTCTGGTTTCTGTTGAAGAAATGACAACAGCTTGAGATGTCTGCAGATTAAAGAATCAAAACATACAAGAGAAGGCCTCAGCTTGGGGGTGTAATATTACAGTTAAAACTGAATAATTGTAAATTATGCTTCTAGGAATGTTCCGCATTGTGCTTTTAATCCCAACAGCATGTGATTTGTCAGAGAATTAGTCAGTGACATGAAATGACTGACAGCCAGAAACATTTTTGCACATTAGGTATTTTTAGTTTATTTTAGTTACCCACTTTAAATGCTGAATTGCTTTCTTTACTGCACAATATGGGCTGAGGGGCATGCAATAATGACCTGTGTTGACATTTATAAATGCTATTCAATGACAGGATCAGTCTATGGACAGGATATATTAAATTTTAAAACATAATCAGTGTGCAGATTATTTGACCTTCTATGGTACAGCGTTGCCATGGCAACAATTAATTTCCACTTATTTCCTTGTTATTCTGAAACAATTCTGTATTGCAATATGGAAATTAAAAGGGCTGGCCTTAAGGTAGTCAAGGATGTGCTGTTTTTAAGTCAAATGACATTTGAATGTTCTTCCAAAACATTTTTCCCACTTTCAACCTCACATGGAAGACACCTGTTGAAGTGCTCCAGAAATTACTCTGTTAGCCTCATTTCTGAACATCTCTTCTTAAGTTTTTTTTTTTTTTATCATCTTTGGTTAGTAGATTACATATTTTTATTCAAAAATCAACATTGTCTAACATAGTTTTACTGTAAATTGAGAAAATATCGATGTTGCCATGTGGCACTACGGAAAAGGTATGTTGCCATATGGCAACACTGTACCACAGTGGAACTGAAGTCATGTATTTCCTCATTAGGATTTTTTTTTTATAGATAGTAACATCAATAATATGATTGCAGTTATTTATTTATTTGAAGTGTTTAGTGTAGTATAGTTGTATTGATGTATGAATAAGAAAATTACCCCTGAACTCGCGAGGGGGGCGGCAGGCGGCGAGCACTGCACTCGCAGCAGGGACGTGGTTTGAAATCCGATCCTAGTTAATGTTTTCCCTCCAGAGCCCGGTGCTCAAACTGTTAGTGGGAGTCTGTGAGCCAAGCTTTCACACAGCACCAAACGCCCCGCACTTCACAACAGACCCAGCGGCGCAGCGGAGCAGTTGTGCCCGGACAGCGCAGCGCAGAAGAGCGGAGCTTCTTCCGTAGGACCCCGAGACCCTCTTACGAGCCAAAACTACACTGGTGCTCCTTTAGATGATACAGTCCAGTGTGCTTTTGCTACACTTTTCAGCGGTTTAAGGACTGGACAGAGTCGGACAGCTCAAGGCTGTGTGTGAATACGGCTTCGAAGTTCTTCTCAAACACTGCACTGAGTTCACGTCTGTTTAGATTTTCTTCACGCCTGGGTTTGGAAACTTCAGTGTATTTTGATGATTTGCCCCCCGAATGTAATTCACGAAACATCTGGAAAGGACCCCGCAGACCAAGCTTTCTCAAAAAGCCAATAAACCTATTTTATTTTGATCTCGTAAAGGATTACTGTCAAGAAGGAATTTGGTGAGGAGTTTATTATTATAATTCTTATTATTACATTCTTATACTGCCTTTTACAATTGCCAATTGTAATTTTACAAAAGTCATAATGGAATTTGTTATGAATATAGAAACATGAATTTTGAAATATTAAAATAAATAGATAAATAAATAGATAAATAAATAAATAAATAGATAAAGTTATAAAATGCATACTTCATCACGAGAATAACAAAGTTCAAGGCTGCACTCATGCTGCATCATTTCCATGGACACAAAGCAGCATCAGAGCCGTCTCTAATATATAGGCAACTATAAAAGCTGAAGTCTGCATACTTTACCAGTTTTATGTAGCACTGCGTTTTGACACAGACTTTGACTCAGACAGAGCTGCTCAGACCAGGTATGTAAAGGCGCCTTTGAGGGGTAGGAAATAGTCTTATCCTCATATTTCTAGTTGTTTCCTTGTTCCAATTCCAAAACGTGTTTTTCAATTGGGCTATTGATTAAATCAAAGCATTCTGAATGGAAACAAAGTTTTAGTGTAGAAGAGCTGCGGTGACATGTGGTGTGTGCCCGTATCGCTTACAGTCGGACAGGTGTTGCGCGGTGTGTGTGTGTGTGAGTACCGCGTGCTCCAAAGCTGCTCCACCAGTCGCGAGGAGAAGCCGCACCTGTGCTGAAATAATTCACAATATGGCTCGATTAAAAATGTTTGCGGTGTATAATTTAGCCTGGTGTGTGGCAGTCGATTTTGAGCTGTGAAATTGACTCGTTTCCTGAAGCGCGAGTAAGAAACTAGCCTTTAATTCGTCAGCAGCTGGTCTTTGTCATGAGGTGTAGGTTTTTTAATGGTGCCGAAACCCACCGTGGGATGTGAGGTGACGGGAAACACAGTCAAGGGCGCTTATATCAACCTATCCTTCGCGCTGCACGAGTTTAACACAAAACTGTTTATAGCTATTCCCTTTAGACACGCCATATAGAGCCATTTATATTTTTACCTGTTGTAAACTCAATAAGTCGTTAACGGTCACTCAGTTGGCATGTCTTTCTGATGAGAGACTTAGCCCTTTACAGCTTGAAGTATGATGCATTTTAAAACCAAAATTACATCCATTTCTTCTGCGGCCACCTCAGCAGGGCTTCATTTGTGTTGTTTTTAGCTCATACTGAAGGGAACCTCACCAGTTTTTCCTCTGCCGTACCCACGGGCCATCTGAAACCAATTGTAGCTATCGGAGTGAATTAGAGTCTCTGGAGGTGTTAACGCAGGCTACTGGGGGCAATTAGCCACCTCATGTACTAGAGTCATTCAAACCCGACTAGAGTCCGTGGTGAGAACTGAACTAGGATGTAAACTGTTAGGTTTTCCCCTAATCTCGATGATATCATTATTTTAAGCAGACCTATTGTTTATATAGGTTTCTTTGGGCTTTAAATGGCTGACAGCAAGAAGTTTCTTGCTGTCAGTTCAGGTTGTCAGATGCTGAAATTTGGCTGCTAAACACATGCACTGTATGAAACGTTCTTGATGTCTTGTTTTCTTGCTGACTTACATTTTTAAACGGTATCACTACCAACAATACATTAATTGTGCTTTTCAGTGAAATTAACAATTTACTGATTAGGAAAATAATCTCTGAAAACTCAATATAGTATAGAAACAACTGATTACAAGCTTGGATGTTGAACCAATGATAACAATCTCCCACTTTCAGAAATGTCTACACCTTTTTTTGGGGGGAGATAATCATTACTTTTCTAGTTATGTGTCCCGTGCACTTTTCAAACCAGCCCTGGTGGAACTAGTAAAGGTCTCTCTAAGGCATTCACACAACTCAAATGTGAGAGGTCGTGTCATCAGGGAAAAAAGAAGCTCTTTTCAATTGGAACCTTGACTAATTGTGACCCTTAGCGCACTGGTGCTGGCTCAAAATCAATACGCTACTCTGTGGACTGTCGAAAGTTTGAGAGTTGAAGTCCTGAATATATGTCATCAAACTCTCTTTCTCTAAAGTTCCTTATGCTTTTTTATACCTTATTAGCTACTGGTAAGAGATTAATATAATATATTATTAAAAACCTCAACAAAAAATGTGCACAAGATCATTTTACACACAATGCACAATGCAGTCCAAGGGCTAAACACAGCATGAATGAAAACGAGGCATACAATAAACAATGGACAATGTTACTGCCGTCTCTCGCTCTTTCATCCTTCTGTTTTTAATTACCCTTATGTTTTTCTTTTTCTATTAATGTTTTTGTGGACAGTGTCATGCCAGATGCTTTATGTAAGCATATGAGATGATGGGTTTAATGCTAGAATGCACAGAAAAGTCACTGACTGAGAAGTTTGGAGAAACCCATAATTTCACAGTGACAAACATCTGTAAATGTGGTTTGCAAATTGGTCCTCTTTGATTTATCTGTTTGATGTGTTCCTCCATGGGGATGTTTAAAAGGGTGGGTTAGGGAGTTTAATTCTCACCTTTATTCAGTTGTCTACACTGAAGCATTGCACAAACCCGTAGCCTCCCACACTCCCACACACGCGCTGACAGAGCTCTCAGAGAACCGCAGGAGGGCGAGTGAAGTCCTCGGAAGAGGATTACAGCCAAACTCTAATAGAGACACCTCAGACTTCAGCTTTTCATCTGCTGTCTCTCTCTCACTCTCTTTATCGCTCTCATACTCTCCCTCCTAATCCCTATTTTCATTGGCAGATTTTAGGCTGGGCTGGCCGTTGACATGGTTGCACAATTACTGGAGATTACTGACATTTTTGAGTCCCAGATTTGTTGCAAGGTGTGACTAGCGTGTGATAGGATTCTATTAAAACCTTCTTTCACCCAAAACTATTAGACATTACATGCATAAATGCCCAGGATTTGAAAGAATATTCTTTCACTGCCTTGTTCAGGTCTGTAGTTGTTTGCTTGCCATTAAAAAATCATTATATTTTTTATACTTTAATATGTGTTCTATATCAGTTGACTGAGGGGTCTAAAAGCAAGAGACGGAAAAGGAGATACAGACAGTAAAAACATAGTAGCTAATGTTGAATTATCGGCTAGACTGATAATCATAATATTTCAATAGAGTCCAAATCAAATTCTTCAGTAATCCCCTAGATAAACACGACTCTTCTGAGAGAGTTAGAGTTTTACACACCACACAGCAACACACTGCAGCACACATCAGTCATGTCACACAGTCCCAGCTGCCTATACCCTAAAGTTTCATTTGCACAGAAGTATATGCATTTAAGTTTGGGGTAAGTTTTTCAAAAGAAATTATTACTTTTACTTAGAATGAATGGTTACAAAAACATTCTATTTTGAAACAAATTATGTTCTTTTGAACTTTCTGTTCAAGGGTATAGAATGATTTCTAAGGGATCATGTGGCACTAAAGACTGGAGTAATGATGCTGAAAATTCAGCTTTGCAGTCACAAGAATAAATTACATTTTAAAGTTTATGAAAATAGAAAACAGTTTTTAAAATTTAAAATGTAAAATTGTAAAAATATTTCACAATATTACTGTTTTTACTGTATTTTTGATCAACTACATGCTGCCTGGGTGAGCCTAAGAGACTTATTTCAAAAACCTTTAAAAAAAAAAAACTTTAAGACCCTAAGCCTTTTAAGGGTATGTGTTAAAATGGCTTATTATAAATGCATAGCTAAGATACAAGCAGACACAGTTCAGTATTCAAACTACACCATGTTGTCTTAAGTAACATATATTGTACAATCATCCATTCATTATCGCTAAATAAACCAATCAAGATAGTCTTGTATCACAACAAAGAGGTTTATTTTTGCGATAATGACTGGCTTACTGCACATTATCCCATTCATTACACTGCTTATCCCCAAATAAATAAATAAATTGTGATTTGAGATGAAATTAGAGCATTATGCAGAATGTTGCCTGGTGAAATCGTCAATTAGTTTAGCTGTCTTGTACCATAGAATGCTGTGATCAACCAATCAGAATCAAATACTCCAAAAAGATGCATAATAATAATACAAGATAAGGCCTTTTCCAAGAATATATCAGAGTTTGTTTCTGTTTTAGGCCTCTCCCCTACTTTTAAACTTTGTTACTGTAAGATAGTATGGCTCCAGAAACATGCTCAAAAAACACACCTACGATACCCACTTCAGAAATATGCTCCACAAATATACCCTTCTCTCTTACAACAGCAAGTGCTGATACACTATCAGCCCACAGCGCAGTGCACGCTCCTGCTCCACCGGCCAGAGAAAACACTGAGTTACTCAACACACCAGCCCGGCTTCTCTCCTTCTCTCTCTTCAGTATGTGCTGACCAAGAATCAAGCGTCTGCTCGTCAAAGGAAAGAAAAACAGCGTCACACTAGCCTCAGGAGAGTGTGTGTGCGTCTGTTCGAGAAGAATGCCACCGTTTAAAGTTAACGCAAACATTTTGTGTGTCTAAACCAAGGCTGTTCTGAAATAACAGGAGTTCAAGTTTAAAGCAACACAGAGTCCTCTCAAATTCTCAGTGTCTTTGAGCGAAAATCTCTCAGCGGGGAATCAAACCATACAGCCTACAGTATATATGTGTATGTGTGTGTGTATTTAAAGCTCTTTACATTCCTTTTATTGTGACTAATGTAAACTCTCTATGTGGCAAGATGCAGACACACACACATACACAAGTCCCAGAGTGTAGGGGAGCATATGTTTTCTTTAGAGAGATAAGTGTGTTTGTGTTAGCTTAGTGAAAGACGTGTTTCAGAGTAGACCGACCAGAGAAAGGAGAAAAAAGGGAGAGTAAAAAAAGAGATGGCAAAAGAGAGTTTACAACAAATCCCAGTCTCGTCTAAACTAGCTCGTCTAAACCCACTGTCTATGTGGGCTGATAGACATATAATATAAAATCACTCCATTTCATTCACTCGTGGCAGTTGTGTGTGGTCGTCGCACTTTATTTTTCAATTTACAGTGTACGCAGAGAGACTGCTGCAGACATTTGCACGTCAGCACAGAATTTCAATAGTGTTTTGAAAAATGTGTCCCATGTCAAAATAACAAGGAACAGGCCTAAGTTTTATTGAATATCTGTGAGAATTTGTACTTTTTTATACTGTTAAATTAAGTGTTTGTTCTGTGTCCCTTCTCTATTTGACCACTGATTGTTGATTGTGTTTTTGTGTTTCAGGTGGGGGACGGGCAGCGACAGGACTGTGTTTGTGTGTGTGTGTGTGTGTGTGGCAGCGCTACATTGACAGCATGTGTGGAACGGTGGAGGATGTCTGAGTCTGGTCTCCGTGGTGAGGACACTTGTCCCCGCGTCACTCAGCCCGGGATGGTCCCGCTCTGTCTCCTTCTGTACCTCACGGCCCTCATCTTCCCTCCGGTGTACAGTGCCCACCTGCTGTCCCCAGAGCCCACAGGTCAGACATTACATCTCACCCTCTCTGTCTCATGCTCACAAAAACCAGGAAATATCAGATAGTTTTTACACAGTGTTTCTCAAGCCTGGAAAAGTAATTTTAAATATACATTTTGTGTACAAACCATTCAGTTTGGGGTCAGTAAGATTTTTCTAAAAATGTTTTTTAAAATAAGTCTCTTATGCTCGCCAAAGCCGCATTTAGTTAAACAAAAATACTGTAAAAACAGAAATATTGTTAAGTATTGTTGTAATTCAGAATAACTATTTTCTATATTAAAATATTTTAAAATGTTATTTATTCCTGTAATGGTAAAAGTGAATTTTCAGCAGCCATTATTTCAGTCTTTATGCTTCAGAAATCATTCTAATATGCTGATTTGCTGCTTAAGAATCTTTTTGTTATTATTATTATCAATGTTGAAAAGTTGAAAATACATTTTTCATGATTCTTTGATGAATAGAATGTTCAAAAGAAGAACATTTATTTAAAAGAGAAATCTTTCGTAACATTACTGTCACCTTTGATCAGTTTAATGCATCCTTGCTAAATAAAAGTATTAATTTCTTTAAAAAGTATTACTGACCCCAGTTTTTTTAATGATAGTATGTTTTGCTCTGAAATACTTGGTATATAGACATACCAAGATTGATTTGTGAATATTTTGTTCTGTTCTGAATAAATATATTATGTTCAATGAATCTGACAAATTCAAATTCATTGTCATGAATCACAAATTAGTGAATCATTAGTGAATCAGTCTGAAACAGAACAATTATAAAAACACTTACAAAGTTTTCTGAAATGACTGGAAAGGTCTTGGTCATTTCTATAGTGAATGTACATTTTCGCATTTATTGTTTGCTCTGAAATATTTTGTCACCTAGGTATACAGTAGGTCTTGTATAGAGGCCACAGCGATGTTTTGTTTGAAAATGAATGGGTCGATTCTCTTAAATGAATCAGTCAAACTGTGTTCACCATACTAAGTGATTCATTTTAGTTCATCTGAATCTTTGCATCTCTTTTTGAAATCTGTAAACCTTCAACAAAGGGTCTAAATTGATTTAGGCTTCACTTACCTGTGTGATTCACACCTTTTTTTTTCAGTGCAAGCACTTCTCAAATGTATTTTTTGGACACTTTCAAAAGACAGAGGATTGTTTGTTATTATTTATCACATGCTGAAAATGAATCGGTTGTCAGTGATTCTGTGTTCTTAAGGAGCTCGAGTTGCAGCCTCTTCCATTGGGCAGTATGTAACTGGCTGAGTTTGTACAGTGGCACAAAGTGGGTATTGATGCAATGAACACTTGTGTAGCTGATATTATTTAAACACACTTTGTCCTTGCCATTGATTTATTATCCCGCAGTTGACGGATGAGGCCCTGCAGAGTGGTTTACATGACAGCTAAGAGTGTGTGTGTGTGTGTGTGTGTGTGTGTGTGTGTGTGTGTGTGTGTGTGTGTGTGTGGACTTAATAATAGCTCATAACTCCAGGCAGATAGCGTCTAAATTTTCTGCATATGTGGGCAGGTATGAGAGAGCCCATGTTGTTGAGAGGTGTTGATCATTATCAGTTGTTTGTTAAAGACAGGTTTCTTGGCTGAGTTCACCCGAGTCTCTGTTGTGTTTGGATTCTAGATGGCTCTACTAAACATGTTACAGTCACTTAGAAAATAGAAAGGAGCTTGATGCTTTCTTGGCCCATTTCTCTGCTCTTTGAGTGTGTGTTGGGAGAGATCATCTGATTGCTGGTGGATCTGATTTCTCATACTGATAGCAGGTAAATATTAGGAGACGGCGAGAGAATTACAGTTATTGTTCATACATGGTCCAAAGGAGAGAATGCAGAAAGTCTTCAGCAAAGCAACAGCATAAACAAAGAAGGATTGTTATGAGACAAGAACCTGCAAACACCCAGGTCCTTTTCACTTCTAATCCTAACCACCAAATCCCCTGTTTTTCTCTCTCTTTCTTTCTATTCCTCTATTCATCTTTTTAGGTCTGTGAATCCAGAGACAGTAAGTTTGAATTGATCATTTCAGACAGACAGATTAAATCAATAAGCCACAAGAGGCCGCACATTACAGTGAAGTTAACGTGAGTAAGATGTGTTCTTAGGCACAGTATGAAGCTGTGTATGAAGTAAAATAGCTGTTGTGGTCAATTTAACACAATGTGTGTATGTGTGTGTGTGTGTGTGTGTGTGTGTGTGTACATACATATATGTATGCATAATGACAATGAGGCATAACATGCCTCCTCAAATCAGAAGTGATAATCAAATGTTGAACTATCCATTTTATAAATCAGAATATCAGGTCTTAATTCATTAATCTTTAAGTCTTGATGCGCAAGTGCACAAGTGTGTGTGTGTGTGTGTGTGTGTGTGTGTGTGTGTGCATGTGTTTGTTACTGAAAGTCTTCATTATGGTTTAAATAGACACTATATTGCAGTCCTTCTTCTTATTACATACTACTTACATTTCCATACATTTTAAGACCCTTTGCACATTCGTATGAGTGTTTTTCTTTTGTTCTGCTGTTATTAGTTGGGGTTGGTTCACCTCATTAATGCTCTTTGAAACTCACTGCAGGTCAGCAGATGAGTTATTAATGAGCAAAGAAACACATTCTCTAAATGGTGTCTGAAACCACCTGTTCACACGAGGAGAGACTTCCTTGTACCAGATACCTGCGCAGTAATGCACACACCCGTACACACAGACAGAGGCACAGGCGTGTGAAGCACATACACACTTGCTGGCCTGTCAACCTGTAGGATGGGTGTTTTCAATGTAATTATCAGTTCCCCTGAAGGACATTACTTAGATACTTACATAAAGTCATAAGTGGTAAAACAAACCGCTTGGTGTGTGTGTGTGTGTGCGTGTGTGTGTGTGCGTGCGCGCATGCGTGCGTGTGTGTGTGTGCGTCAGAGTGTAGCAGGACTTGCTTCATTTCTGACAGGTTTGTACTGAAATGTTTTTCCTTGTCCATTATCATCAGATTCTTTCTTAAATCTATTTTTTTTTCATGTCAACTATACACAGCACATGTTAACTATACAAATCATACAGACCCCAAACTTTGGGGTGTTCTAAAAGGTTTTTCTTAAAGGTTAGAGATTGTCTCTAGTAATTATGATTAGCTTTATATAAAAACAATAGATGTCTATGGTAAGTCCTCACTTAGTCAAGTCAACGTGTGTTTGAGTGTGTGTGTGTTGCTGATTTCCCTCAGCTCCCCTATACCACTTCTGGCAGTCATGAACAGATGGCAGAAGTTATGTGCTGTAAGAAGTCCAACAAACACACACACAGAGATGTGTACACTTCTCCTTTACCACCCATGGAATGAACCTCTGCCTTGGCAATATTCCTGCTCCAACACATAGCATCCCACACACACATCCACAACAAACCAGAGCTTGATGTGTCGCACAAACAGCAGTCCATCCATCAATCTCCTCTGGAGTTTAGTTAGATTTAAGCTTTGGCTTAGCATCTTATATATTAGGCTCCTCAGGAACACAGAGTCCTCTATGACTGCTGCTTTCTCTCCTGGGATGCTTATGAATAGTTTATAAAGCATTAATAATGCATTAATGACAGTGTAACAACGCTTATACCGCACACAGATCAGTTTGTAACCGAAAGTGATCAAGTGCTGGCTTTGTTTAGCAGTGTGCAAACATTATAAACTGTTATAATGTTACACAAGGACAGCAGGCCGTATGAAATTTTTGGTTTCAGTTATTAGCCGTTTATACTGTCTGATAGACTAAACAGTGTGTCACATGTTTAGGGGAATCTGTTTTTGTTTAAAATTTTGAGTTATAAATGGGATTGCATATTCATGTTAATGCGCTCAGACTGTGTGTGTGTGTGTGTGTGTGTGTGTGTGATTTGGGATCTTGCTGAGCAGCTGTTGCCAGTTGCTTCTGGGTATCATTGACTGGAAGGAAGCAAGGCAGAGGATTAGTACTTTTCCTGCCCAGTAATACCCTCTCTCTCTCTCTCTCTCTCTCTCTCTCTTTCTCTCTGAAAATGCTGTTTCTATTCAGAATAAAAGACAGAGTGGGTAAAGGGGGAAGGGCAGGGGCCATGGAGAGGTGACATGTTTGTGTGTGTATTTGCTTGATCGCTTGTGTTTCTTTGAGGGCAATTTGAGGTCACAGAGTTGAAAGAGTAACATCTCACTCAGCTCATTTCTTATTCTTTGTGAACTTTGTTCGCAAGACATCTCACTTGGCTTTACAGCAGACATTTACACATTTGACATACAACAATTTAATATAGTGATAAACCCATTTATGTTGGCCAAAATGAAGAATCAGACAATGTTTGGCTATTTTGAGATATATATGCACTTCAGTACATTGGCCATTGGCCATAATCACATCAGATGATGAAATAATGGTGATTAAGTACTGTATTGTTCTAAATTACACACACACACACACACACACACACACACACAATTTTGTTAAACTTATTTAAGATGTCCTTGTTACAGTGTAATTATACAATTAAGTATGGAGTAATTTTAATTAACAACATGTACTTATACATACTTATACTTAGGGATTAGGGTTTGGTTTAGGGTTAGTTGCTTGTAGTTGTGCATAATTTACTATTGTACATGTAACGTGTAACAAGGACACTATAAAAAAGTGTTATCAAATATTAAATTCACAGGATATTCAACATCAGGGTGGGATCAAATGTAAAAGTACCACTAATATGAATATTGGGGTGTGTCCTACTAAATTAAACTTTTAATCAAGAACAAGCCTTAATTTCAACTCCAACTTAAACACTTTTTATGTTCAAAATAAGTTTTTGTTAACCCTAATTCTGAGAAAATTATTTAAGAGAAGAAACTGGATCTGGATAAAGAGATTTGTGAAATATCCAAAGATGTGCTGACGTTACTTTAGATAAAGAGCATGTGTTTGTTCATTTTACAAGCTGCTGCAGTGTGGTTTCTGTAGTGTGTGTTCTGTACAGTGTGTAGGGTTTGAAACTAGGCCAGTTCGTCTATGGAGTGATCCGGTCCCTGATTACAACCTGTGTGTTTGTTTCAGTGTGTGTGTGTGTGTGGCTCTTTGAGTGTGTAGACACGTTAACTTGTTGAAAAAACATTCTTTGAAAGAATGTTTTAGGACAAAGATTAAAAACAAAGGTACATGTACGTATATTTATATATATTTGCATGGATGTGTGCTAAAGAGTTTGGCTCAGACTCTGGATGTTCAGTACATCCAGCTTCCGTTACTAATTAGCGCACCGATGCGGGAGGGTTTGTGTGTGTGTATGTGTAGACAAGGCTTTTTGGATGCAGCAGCTTTCTTAAACTTTCCTCTGGGCACACCGTCATATACACACACACACACACCTCAACAGGACAGAATAAAAGAGGTAACAAGCTGTAAACTCTTCTCCGCCCACCTCTCTTTCGATCGTAATCCTAATCGCCGATCGCGTCTTCTCTCCCGCCAGTCTCATTCAAAGGAGGATCCGGCTCAGAAACGTGAGGTTTTTACATCCGGCATCTGCGATTCACACATACAGTTGATGCAGACTTCAGCTTTAGAAAGATAATTCTTTAACGCAACAAGATTGAATGATGTTGAGGCTGAGGGAGCGGAAAGGAGATTGCATACGAGAAGTGTGCGTGAGACTGTGTGCGTGAATGTGTGTTGTGTTCAGTCTGAAGGTCAGACGACAGTAGGGGATGTTGACTGAGTGTATCACGCCAAACGGCTGAAAGCAGCGGGAAACGGCAAAAGAGCAGACTGGCACAGCTCCGGTTGGTGTGAGTGTGTGTGTGTATGTGTGTGTGAGTAAAGGTGCAGACTAATTACCTGCTATAAATCAGCTACATGTATTGATTACACTGTGTCACAATAGATCACGTACCTGTGCTTTCAGCCATGTCTCTGTGTGTGTGTGTGTGTGTGTGTGTGTGCAGACTCTCAATCCTCCCCCCATATTCTCTTGTTTTAACCTGTCGTTTTGTTGCAACACCCAAAACAAGTGGAACCAGAGACTGTTAGTCGTACACACATTTATCACATGCTGTCAGCTGTATGTGTGTGTGTTAGTGAATGTTGGGACTAACAGCATAGTGACTCAATACACGTCCCTAAAAACAAGCAAATAAATCAAGAGGCCACATTAACCCCCACCCAACACACACGTGTTTGTGAGTGTGAATAATTTTTTTATTGTAAAAATGCAAAACGCTTACATATACAATACCGTTCAAAAGTTTGGCGGTTTGAAAGAAATTAATACCTTTATTTAACAAGGATACATTAAACTGATCAAAACTCAATAATTACTGCTACAAAAGATTGCTGTTTTAAATACATATTGTTGTTTTGAACTTTCTGTTCATCAAAGAATCCTGAAAAAAATGTATCACCATTGCCACAACAAATATTAAAGGGGTCATATGATGTGATTTCAAGTTTTCCTTTCTCTGAAAGATGAAGCTCGCGATTATGGTAAGGGGCGTTACATTTCCGACGAGTGCTTGCGGTGTTCGGCCAATCACAATGCACTGGGTCAGCTGGCCAATCAGAGCAGACTGCGCTTGTCGGAAGGAGGGACTTTGTAGAAAACGAAGCAGAGAGAGGCGGGGCATAGAGGACCTACAATAATGTACAGTATTTGAAAAATAATGTGTTTTTTGAACATTAAAGCATGTCAACATATTCTGTTACACCAAATACACAAAATAATGATCTTTAAAAAAGCATCATGTGAGCCTTTTAAGCAACACAACTGTTTTCAGCATTGTGCATGTCAACATATTCTGTTACACCAAATACACAAAATAATGATCTTTAAAAAAGCATCATGTGACCCTTTTAAGCAACACAACTGTTTTCAGCATTGTTAATAATAAGAAATGTTTCTTAAGCAGCAAATCAGCATATTAGAATGATTTCTGAAGTATTATGTGACACTGAAGACTGAAGTATTCAGCTTTGCATCACAGGAATAAATTACATTTTAAAATGTATTAAAAGACAGTTTTTTTAATTGCAATAATGTTTCACAACATTACGTTTTTTACTATTTTTGATCAAATAAATACAGCCCTATAAGCGATTGAGAGACTTCAAAAAATTGAAAAGTCTTACCAACCTCAAACATTTAAATGTGTGTATATAATTTTTTTTTTCTTATATATTAGATATTATATTGAAAACTAACAGACATGTAAGATGTCTGTTAAACACACACACTTTATATTAAACACACATACAGCACTTTTAAATTAGATGCAAAAACTGCTGTTTTCTGATTACTACTAAAAATGCCCTTCTCACACAAACACACACAGAGTGTTGACCTGTTCGTTTCATAAAAGTAGTCAAATATATTCCAGCAACTGCTGTGTTGCCCATGGCAGCAGGTTTTAAATCACATCTCACATATTACCCTGCACAACTCTGGCAAAACACTAAAAACCTTTCATCTTTTCCGCATGATCAAAGGAAAACTGTCCTCAATACATGCAAGTGTGTGTGTGTGTGTGTGTCGAATATAGAACAGTGCTTGAATCTACAGTGATTATGAAAATACATGAAGCTGATTATAGAGTGAAAGTATGATTACAGGCTTTGGAGGACGGTAGCGTTGTGGTCACGAAGGTCAGGACATTGCCAAAGGTTCACATCCAGAATGGTTGACCACTGCTGAAATCTAGTAATCTAGTTTTGCCTTTAGCCAATCAATGTTGTCATGATGTCATATCCTGTGGCTTCAGAGTGATTAGACACATGATACTTATGGCTCAGATTTCCAGTCACATATTTCAGTCAAGCAACTGCCATTGAAATAAATGGAAATGCATAGCAGAAAGCAAATACATACTCTGCGTTATGAATTTCAGAGAACGGTGACACATGAACAGGGTTTGTGAGTCTTCATAAAAGTCTCACCTGATCTGTGGTCCTCAAGAGGTTTCTATATCAGCCCTGTAAAACTTCAGCGCTCACACTGGCTCTATTCTCCACACACCTCCTGGGAAATATGGGAACACACAGTAGCCATTTATGATATTTATTTATAACCCCTTCCCCCACGCACATTAGTGTCTTTCACTGGGCCCAGCATATGTTACGCAAACACACACTCCCTCTCTTTCACAGGATATAGAATAGACACGCACACACAGCGGCATTTATTCACTGAAGGAGCCGCCATCTGATGTCAGCACTGTGGTGCCTGTGGATTTGAGTGGTATAGAGGGGGAAGAAAGAGACAGAGAAATGAGTGAAAGACAAGATGAAAGGTAAAAAAAAAGGGGACGGAGAGGCAGATGTGATGGCGTCAAGAGTGAACCACACAAGAACTGATATGAGAAGTGATCAAAGAGATATTAACACTTCACGTGGCCTTCAGAAAGCCTCAGATGGTGTGGTGTATTTGGACTTTGCACTTAACAGCGTGTGTGTATGCGTTCACATGTAGCGGGCGATCTATAATTCATAAACCCAATTCTGCATTCCACTCCAGCTTAGTCTTGTCTGCAAGCCGTCTGCTATCACACTCCTGACCTCACACACACACACACACACGAGCGCAACATCTATGTATCAATCCTTTGTAAGTCTGTCACCGCTCTACCCGGAGATGAATGTCACTTTGAAAAGAGAGAACGAAAGAGTGATAGAGATGCTACAGAAAGAAAACCAGGTTTATTGGAGGTGATGGAAAAAAGAGAGGGAAAATGAAGGAAACTCAGGTGGAATATTTATTCCAGCATGTTGCATTTCTGCATCTCAGTGGGGTTTCCATGCCGTTCACCGGGGTGGTTAATAAACATATTTGTTTATTTTTCCTGGTGTGCGTTTGTGTGATTTTAGATCCACCTTGGAGCAAGAATGTAGTGATTTTTGTAGTATTTATACTGTAGATCTGTCTGTCAAACTCTACTAGATGCAATTATTTTCTAAATAAAAATAACTGCATCTTATTGATTTTATTGTGAATGATTCATCCATGCATATATTTATTTTTTATTTTAATCTTCTGGTGAAATAACGGACTTCTCTCTGCTGATGTATGCTGTACTTGCATTCAAATCTGCCTCCATCCAATCAACAATGAACTGAACCAAGCATTTTTCTGCACCTTACTTTTTTCTTTTTTTTTTTGATAATCCATTTCACTTGGACGTCTCAGTACTGAAGAAAAGATGTTACTTCTGTCTAATCATGATTTAACCTGCATTCCTAATGCTATCAAATCTCAAGAGTGCATGAGTTACACCTGAACAATTAGATTAGCTACCTAAAATGTTTGCTTGCTATAAACATGTCAACTTTCCCTAACTTGCTAAGATCACCTTCAAACTGTTGCTATGCACTGGCAATGGTAAATAGAAAAACAAAACTTTTCTTGCGTTAGGAATTGCGCTTGGACACATTTTGGAATGCAGTGACACATGACAGTTTACCAGTGTTTGGAAAGTTACTTTGTAAATGTAATAGGTTTCTAACTTCTAACGAATATTTTCAACTGTTAATCATTTTCAAACATTTAAACCTTACATTAGTACTCAACACTGATTACTGTCAGACTTTCAAAATCCTTCTTCACTAGAATTAAGATTATAATATTTTAATTTTAAAGCGCACACCACAAAATCAGACCCTTTGTAATTGTTGACATTTTCAAAAGTAACTAATTTAATTACACATTTTTTTCTCAGATTACAGATTACAGTTACATTTATTTTGTAATTAAATTACGTAATTCTGTTACATGTAACTAGTTACTCCCCAACACTGCAGTTTACATAGCCTTACTATATAGCTTAATGTGTACCCTCAAGTCATAAAATATCTGCATAAATCTAATTTCATTATCAATACTTTCATTCACTGCAGATTAAATTTACTCCATTAATACGTCTTCCTCTGTTTTTTCTCTGTTAGATTGGGTGTCAAGTGAGGTGGAAGTGTTTCTGGAGGACTATGTGGCTGGAGTCGGGGACACTGTGGATCTGTCCTGCACACCGCGCGACTTCCTGGTCCCCATCGTGTGGCAGAAAGACGGTGACGCCGTGTCTCCTAACAACCGTACGCGGGTGGGGCAAAAAGTGCTCCGTATCATCAACGTCTCCTATGAAGACTCGGGGGTGTATTCCTGTAGACACACCCACAGCAGCACGCTGCTAAGCAACTACACTATCAGAGTCACCGGTCAGTCTCTCCGAATAATATTTAAATAGTGTTGTCGTTATTTTAGTACAGTAGCACAAGCTCAGGCATGCAAAGCATTGATTGGAAACTTGCCAGTCAGACTCATTCCCAGCAGGCAAACAGGTCTTGAGACATACTCCCAGCACACACCTGCAGGCTGACTTGACGTTTATCATACAAGCACAATAACACACACTCGAAAGCAGAATGTTAAATAGTCTACATGTTGTTTAATAATCCACACGGACTGAACAGGATTGTTTTAGACTGTGACGAGGGCTTTACCCGAATAAAAATCAGGAAATTACAAAAATAGGGCCTCTTTGGGAAGGTACGGAGGAAAATGGCATATTTCGGTCCCTATAGATTAAAATCAGTGTGAAATATTCTTGAATAGACACTAGAGTTGTTGTTTGCGTGTGCGTCACACTTGGCCCATTGAGCCAGCCTGTCAGGTATAGTTATCTTTTACTATACAAACCTTTAAAGTGTCACTGACTATGTTTAGAATGGAATCTGAACACTGCTTACTACGTAGTATACTCTGTAATGTCTATTATTATTATCATTTAAAAATAGTGATACAGTAGGCTATGTATTATACAATGCTACACATTTCATACATTGCTGACACATGATCGGAATTCAGTGTGTGCCATTTAATTATAGGCCAAATGTTAGAACATTTTATAGTAGGAACGTGTTTATTAGAATTAAATTAAGAAAAAATGTAAAAATATTTTAACGTTTGTTTAAGTCAATCAATAAAGTTAAAGTAAAGAAAAAAGTAAAGAAAAATATTTATAACTGCTTTTAATATTACTTTAAGTTCAATTTGGCTAATGTAATAATGTCCATGCATACTGAAAATTTGCCTGATTTGCACAGTATACATATTAAATACTGCAGATTAGTAGAAGGTAGTATCCTAACCCTATTTCAAAAATGTTCATACTGTAATAAAAATATCATTAAACTCTAAGACAAACAGACATTACATGATGGAATGCAGAGATTTGTTTTTGTGGGGTGTGTGTGTCTGTGTGTGTGTGTGTGTGTGTGTGTGTGTGTGTGAGTGAGTGTGTGTGTGTGTGTTTAAACGGTAGTGTGGAGTGATCTTTGGTTCTGTAAACTCGTGGACACAAGCTGAGCTGCTCATTGACAACTAATTAGAATGTAATTATCTGGAATCACCTCATCATTTAAAGCAGATGGAAAAAGTAAGAGTGCAGGGAGAGCACAGTTTTTTTTTTACCGACATGTGTTTGGTGTTAGGCCAGGGCAAATCCTTCTCACCAGCATCTGGAGAAAGACAGAAAAAAAGTGAAACGGGCACACAACCTGCACCAATTATCGCATGCTGATAAAGAGTCCTCAAGACAGCAATATCCTGTTCTGCACACTTTAGCACAAGACATAGCTACCAGACACACTGACAGACAGCAACACACAACAGAGCTTTACAAAGATAGTTCATACAAAAAAAACATCATTAATCACCCATATTTCATTCCAAACCTGTTTGAGTTTCTTTTGTGTGTGGAACATAAAATAAGATGTTTTACAGAATGTTCCAGCTGCTGTTTTCCATATAATGAAAGTGAATAGGGACTAACTTGTGTGCTATATTCCGAGTCTTCTAAAGCTTTGTGTAAGTAACATACAGAAAAAGAAAATGTTCTTTGCTTTTCATGGTCTTGCGTATCTTCTAATAAGGTGGCCCTAAAAGCTCCACACCAGGTTTGACATCAATGACATCATTTTGACAACTTTTGGGTGTGCTAATTTTTTAAAAACATGTAACACCACAGAACAACAACAACATTTTATAAGACAAACCTCCAGTAGCCGCTGAAGACTGTTAAGCCACAAAACATTAAAACATGAGTATATCTGATGGTTTGCTGCAACTAACACTGTGAAAGCCACACACAGAAAGCTTCAGTGTCCCAGTAACAGCATATCTTTAGAAATAAATAGGCCTAGTGTTGGATTTCACGCTCTGCTGGTATTTTAAGAGTGTGTGCTGTACAGTTTTACCTGTGTAAATGTTCACAGAGGAGGAGCTGAAGACAGAATAATCTCTTTTTCGGGGTCATGGCTTTTTTTTCCTCTCCCTCTGAATGAATTCATTTAGAAGCAGAATACGAGAGAGTGTGTTTGTGTGTGTGTATTTCAGGACATGTGTGTAAAAATACAGCTGTTGTCAGAAATCTCTGAGACGTTTTACTCACTGAAACTTTGCTAACATCTGCCATCCATTAACCGCTGTGTGTGTGAGAGTGTGTGAGGGTGTGTGTGTGCAGTAATTGGTTTTGATTTGTTATCAGTTTATTTTCCTCATTCTGCAGATCATATGAATAGGATCATTGTTCATACAGAAAGGCCACTGTGCTGTGTAGTAATAAGATCGTTCTCTCTCTATGTCACTCTGTCTCTCTTAGACTCGCTGTCCTCTGGTGATGATGAGGACTATGATGAAGATGAGGACGATGCAGGTAATGGAAATGGTGTGTGTCACCCTCTTATTTATTATTTCAATCCTCTTTTTTGATTGAGATTTCATGAGGTCTCTCTGTTGTGTAATAAATGCATGAGATTGCTGCCTTTTTAGCTGGGGTTAGGTTGCATCTCATTTCATCAGCTGCTTTTTTCTCCCACTTGATGCTAAAACAAATTCTCAGGAGGAATCAAGACAGAGAAAAGGAAAAGAAGAGAAATAGTTTAAAGTCTAACAGTGTCAAATGAAATGTAACTAAAAATTGGAGAAAATGCCACAATGTCTTTGACTTTGTGTATAACAAGTAAAGAAAGAAACCAGAGGGAGATTTAATTTCTCAAGTTTTTAGTGTTGGTAAGTTCTCATTTCAGTGACCTGGGTTGCGTTTCCCAAAAGCATCATAAGCTTAAGTACATCGTAGACCCATTAAACCAATGAAGCTATGATCAACTTAGGCTTACGATGCTTTTGGGAAACGCAGCCCTGATTGATTTTTTAAAAATACATATATTTTAAACACATTTTGATAAATGTCTGTGCAGGCAAATATATGTCAATATAGCAAGAGAATCAGAATCACTGGTTCTGTCCATATTTAAAAAAAAAAATGAAATAAAAGAGAGAGAAATGAGAACAAGGTAATATACAGTTCATGAATAGAGTAAAAAATAAATAAATAAATAAATAATATTGATAGCATAGCCCAGATCTTTGAATTTGATAAGAAATGGTAAATAACGAAATAATAATAAAAAAAGAAATAATAAAAGATTGAAAATCAGAAAAACTGAGAACAGTTTGAAACATTAAGATCTCTTCAGTCATGTTATTCTTAACTAAAACTAGAAATCAAGCTAAAATTAAATTAAATACTCGGTGAAAAACTTAAATTTGAGTTTAAGTATTTAAACTAAAAGTGTAAAAAAAAAAACGAATAAAGCTAACTTAAAGCTGCAGTCCGTAACTTTTTTTTTGGTTAAAAATGATCCGACATCAATACTTGAGCAAGTATATAACCAGCCAGTGTTAAAAACTATCGCCTTACTTTACCCCGATTCACAACAGTTAGCTTATAATAATGTTTTGTAATTTGAGTGGTACTGGAAGGTTTTCCCGGGAAATTCGAGCATGCTGCCGCATCATTACGTCGCGTCTGTAAACATAAAGAAGTTGTCCCGGCTACTAGGCTATCACATGTGAGGATCCTGCAGGTGGCCGATCGTTTCTA